AAAAAAAAAAAAAAACTCACAAAAATCCGAAAAACAAATATGTTATGAAGAAAATTAAATTAAACAAGATTTGCCTGAGCATTACATCCAAATTCCTTACCAAATTCGAAATAAAAATAAAATACGAAAAACAAATACTAATAATAAAAATAACAAAAAATAAAAAAGAATGAAATTTAGCGAGTGCGTGAGCACGTTTTCGACACCGCCATCTTTGGCGATGTTTTACTTTTTTTTGGCATAGCTAAATGCCCTGAAAATTTACAGATGTGTACTTCACATAATGCAAAACCCACAAAAAAAGTTTCAAAAAATAATAAAATTGTTTAGATCCTGAACTAAAGTGAAAAGAAAAAGTAAAAAGTGAAAAAAAATGTGGGCGAGCACGTTTTGAGACCGCCATCTTTGGCGATTTGTAATTCTTATTTAGCTAAGCCAAATGACTTGAAAATTTATAGGCATGTACCTCATGTCATAGAGAACTCACAAAAAAACAGTTCAGAAAACAGAAGTTCTTTTTAGGCCCCGAAATAATTTTTGGCGGGGGCCGAACGCCGTCAAGGTCGGACCCCGTACGGGACCCCGAACGCCCGTACGTACGGAGGTCTGCCCGGGGACCTCCGTACGTACAGGCTGGTGACCCTGTATATATATAATATATATATATAATATTGTATATACATATCCTGGTGAGTCGGTGAGACTCTGGCGACACAGTCTGCGACAGTCCCTCGTTTGTTGTCCTCTCTCTCCCTCTCTGCCTACAGTTTACAGAGCAGTTCTGGTTGATGATATATACATCGTCAAATGCAACTGCCCAGTAAACCATAGGCACAGAGAGAGAGAGAGAGAGAGAGAGAAGAGGACAACAAACGAGGGGCTGTGACAGACTTTCCCATCGAGTGAAAACACCGACTCATAAGAAGACTGAACCCTATAGATATATGAATGCAGCCCTGCATATCCCTCTCCGTATAAAACATACATACATGTACATATTCATGTTACACACATACATACATACATACATACATATATCATACACACATGCGTACATACATACATACATACATACATATATCATACATACATACATACATACATATATCATACATACATACATACATACATACATACATACATACATACATACATACATACATATACGTACATTACAAATACAATCATGCATGTAGACATACATACATACATACGTGCATACATACAGAGTACACATACATTACAAATACAATCATGTATGTAGACATCCATACATGATACATACATACGTGCATACATACATAGTATGTACATACATTAAAAGAATAACGATGTCTGTAGACATCCATACATGCATACATACATACATTACTCACATACATACATGCACCCCGTTGCGTGCCAGGGGAGTGTGCCACTGGATGCTAACCTGGAATGCAAGCCCCGTACTGAACATGAGAACCAGCACAAACTCAAAATACTGATCGATGGACCAGATGGACTCAACAACGCCTTCGGAGTAATTGACAAAGAAGTTGAGCGCAGCGGGTGTGAGAACGGCATAGGAGAAGAGAAGTCCCACGTAAAAGAGGATAGAAGACCCGAAAACAATCGGGCCGAGAAACCTGCGCTCACTCCGCGTCAGGCCTGGAACCACAAAAGCGATGATCTCGTACAGAATCACCGGACTCCCTAGCAACAATCCCGCGTAGCCTGCAACCTGGTCAATATCAATCAGCACCATCATCAATGGCAAATAATTATTAATTTATTATCAATAATAACACCAAAGTTTCCCCAAAAAAAAACAGAAAAAAAAAAACGGCCAACTTGGGCCAAGCGAATAAGCAACAAACTTGAGCAAGGACAAATGGTGAACAAAATTCAACAAATAAAGTCAACACAGACTCAACACAGACTCAACACAGACTCAACACAGACTCAACACAGACTCAACACAGACTCAACACTACCTACACTTATCTATACAACCTAGCACAGACTCAACACTACCTACACTTATCTAGCCAACTTGGGCCAAGCAAATCTATGTGAGCTTTATTCTTCTCTCATATACCTAACACAACCTACCATCCCAACAACCTAGGGCCTACTTATCTATTGCTACAGCCTATCCCTTCAGGGTCGAACCTAACCCCTCACACTGGATTGGGGGGGGGGGGGAACACATCCCCCCCAAGACCGAGCAGGGAGTGGCATTCGGCAGGTGGCGGGTTCGATTCCCCATGTCTTTCCATTTGACTCCCCCCGTCCCCCTGTGGCACACCTGGTTCACCAGCGGAGGTAGTCAACAGTGCTATTCTTTTTTTTTTTTTTTTTATCATCACAGTGATCACATAGCAAATGCCAGACAGGCTTTTCAAAAGGAGTCAGTATTTTCAAGGGAGTACAGAACACAAGTATTCGAGAAGATTTGAGAAGATTCGAGAAGATTAAAAAAAAAAAAAAAAAAAAAAGATGAAACAACTGCAGAAGATTAGACCACCAGTACGTTTCCCGGCCATTTTGCAGAAGCGCGTTGTGCATGCTGGGACGTCGGGCGGGATGCACCGGACTGCCATTTTGGCCAAAATCCATCCAGGTGAATTTTTTTGGCCCTCGCATGCCACCTGTGTTTGCCTGAATGGATTTCGGGCGAAAGAGCACCCTCGTGCATCCCGCCTGACGCGCCAGCATGCACAGCGCGTTTTTGCAAAATGGCAGGGAAACGTACTGGTGGTTTAACCTGGGCTACCAGCCGGGCCGCCCGGGTCACCCTATTTTCCTGAACAACTTTTGCCTCAGGGTTACATCGAAATTCTTTACCATATTTAAAATAAAAAATAAAGTTAAAAAGTATTTTTTTAGTTTTTTTTTTTTTTTTTTTTTTT